TGGGATGAAATTCCATGTCTAAAAATGGTGTTGCTTCCACTTTTTAAAAATAGAGCCTTTTTGGTGCCTGGGGAAGAAAACGCGTAACTCCACGTTCAGGAAAATGCTGCCCAGGAACCAAAATGTTTTTGGAAGCCAATTTTTTTTTTTGAAGCCAAATGCAAAAACGGACACCAGGATGAGTTTCGGGATGAAATTCCATGTCTAAAAATGGTGTTGCTTCCACTTTTTAAAAATCGAACCTTTTTGGTGCCTGGGGAAGAAAACGCGTGACTCCGCGGTCAGGAAAAATGCTGCCCAGGAACCAAAATGTTTTTTGAAGCCAATTTTTTTTTTTGAAGGCCAAATACAAAAACGGACACCAGGATGAGTTTCGGGATGAAATTCCATGTCTAAAAATGGTGTTGCTTCCACTTTTTAAAAATCGAGCCTTTTTGGTGCCTGGGGAAGAAAACGCGTGACTCCGCGGTCAGGAAAAATGCTGCCCAGGAACCAAAATGTTTTTTGAAGCCAATTTTTTTTTTGAAGCCAAATGCAAAAACGGACCCCAGGATGAGTTTCGGGATGAAATTCCATGTCTAAAAATGGTGTTGCTTCCACTTTTTAAAAATCAAGCCTTTTTGGTGCCTGGGGAAGAAAACGCGTGACTCCGCGGTCAGGAAAAATGCTGCCCAGGAACCAAAATGTTTTTTGAAGCCAATTTTTTTTTTGAAGCCAAATACAAAAACGGACACCAGGATGAGTTTCGGGATGAAATTCCATGTCTAAAAATGGTGTTGCTTCCACTTTTTAAAAATCGAGCCTTTTTGGTGCCTGGGGAAGAAAACGCGTGACTCCGTGGTCAGAAAAAATGCTGCCCAGGAACCAAAATGTTTTTTGAAGCCAATTTTTTTTTTGAAGCCAAATGCAAAAACGGACACCAGGATGAGTTTCGGGATGAAATTCCATGTCTAAAAATGGTGTTGCTTCCACTTTTTAAAAATCGAGCCTTTTTGGTGCCTGGGGAAGAAAACGCGTGACTCCGCGGTCAGGAAAAATGCTGCCCAGGAACCAAAATGTTTTTTGAAGCCAATTTTTTTTTTTTGAAGCCAAATGCAAAAACGGCCCCAGGATGAGTTTCAGGATGAAATTCCATGTCTAAAAATGGTGTTGCTTCCACTTTTTAAAAATCGAGCCTTTTTGGTGCCTGGGGAAGAAAACGCGTGACTCCGCGGTCAGGAAAAATGCTGCCCAGGAACCAAAATGTTTTTTGAAGCCAAATTTTTTTTTTGAAGCCAAATGCAAAAACGGACACCAGGATGAGTTTCGGGATGAAATTCCATGTCTAAAAAGTGGTGTTGCTTCCACTTTTTAAAAATCGAGCCTTTTTGGTGCCTGGGGAAGAAAACGCGTGACTCCGCGGTCAGGAAAAATGCTGCCCAGGAACCAAAATGTTTTTTGAAGCCAATTTTTTTTTTGAAACCAAATGCAAAAACAGGCCCCAGGATGAGTTTCGGGATGAAATTCCATGTCTAAAAATGGTGTTGCTTCCACTTTTTAAAAATCAAGCCTTTTTGGTGCCTGGGGAAGAAAACGCGTGACTCCGCGGTCAGGAAAAATGCTGCCCAGGAACCAAAATGTTTTTTGAAGCCAAATTATTTTTTTTGAAGCCAAATGCAAAAACGGACACCAGGATGAGTTTCGGGATGAAATTCCATGTCTAAAAATGGTGTTGCTTCCACTTTTTAAAAATCGAACCTTTTTGGTGCCTGGGGAAGAAAACGCGTGACTCCGCGGTCAGGAAAAATGCTGCCCAGGAACCAAAATGTTTTTTGAAGCCAAATTATTTTTTTTGAAGCCAAATGAAAAAACGGACACCAAGATGAGTTTCGGGATGAAATTCCCTGTCTAAAAATGGTGTTGCTTCCACTTTTTAAAAATCGAGCCTTTTTGGTGCCTGGGGAAGAAAACGCGTGACTCCGCGGTCAGAAAAAATGCTGCCCAGGAACCAAAATGTTTTTTGAAGTCAAATTTGTTTTTTAAACCAAATGCAAAAACGGAGACCAGGATGAGTTTCGGGATGAAATTCCATGTCTAAAAATGGGGTTGCTTCCACTTTTTGAAAATCAGCCTTTTTGGTGCCTGGGGAAGAAAACGCGTGACTCCGCGGTCAGGAAAAATGCTGCCCAGGAACCAAAATGTTTTTTGAAGCCAAATTTGTTTCTTTAACCAAATGCAAAAACGGAGACCAGGATGAGTTTCGGGATGAAATTCCATGTCTAAAAATGGGGTTGCTTCCACTTTTTGAAAATCACGCCTTTTTGGTGCCTGGGGAAGAAAACGCGTGACTCCGCGGTCAGGAAAAATGCTGCCCAGGAACCAAAATGTTTTTTGAAGCCAATTTTTTTTTTGAAGCCGAGTGCAAAAACGGACACCAGGATGAGTTTCGGGATGAAATTCCATGTCTAAAAATGGTGTTGCTTCCACTTTTTAAAAATCGAACATTTTTGGTGCCTGGGGAAGAAAATGCGTGACTCCGCGGTCAGAAAAAATGCTGCCCAGGAATCAAAATGTTTTTTGAAGTCAAATTTGTTTCTTTAAACCAAATGCAAAAAGGGACACCAGGATGAGTTTTGGTATGAAATTCCATGTCTAAAAATGGTGTTGCTTCCACTTTTTAAAAATCGAGCCTTTTTGGTGCTTGGGGAAGAAAACGCGTGACTCCGCGGTCAGAAAAAATGCTGCCCAGGAACCAAAATGTTTTTTGAAGTGAAATTTGTTTCTTTAAACCAAATGCAAAAATGGACACCAAGATGAGTTTCGGGATGAAATTCCATGTCTAAAAATGGGGTTGCTTCCACTTTTTAAAAATTGAGCCTTTTTGGTGCCTGGGGAAGAAAACGCATGACTCCGCGGTCAGGAAAAATGCTGCCCAGGAACCAAAATGTTTTTTGAAGCCAATTTTTTTTTGAAGCCAAATGCAAAAACGGACACCAGGATGAGTTTCGGGATGAAATTCCATGTCTAAAAATGGTGTTGCTTCCACTTTTTAAAAATCGAGCCTTTTTGGTTTCTGGGGAAGAAAACGCGGGACTCCATGGTCAGGAAAATGCTGCCCAGGAACCAAAATGTTTTTTGAAGCCAAATTTGTTTTTTTAAAGCAAATGCAAAAACGGAGACTAGGATGAGTTTTGGGATGAAATCCATGTCTAAGAATAGTGTTGCTTCCACTTTTTAATAGGGTTGCCAGGTTTGCTTCCAAAAAATAGCGGATAAGCGGGTGCAGGGCGGGGGGGGGGTTAAGTAGTAAAAAAGAAATTTACAATTAAATTATATATTTTCTTACTAACATTTTAACACTTATTAAAATAATCACTTCAAAACTTTACTTAAAACTCGAAACATCAAATATATTATAATAATATTGAAAATATTAAATTATATTTTACTTTGCTGTCATGTGTATTTTTTATTTGACTACGCAGCTTTGATCAATTCTTTGTGTTTAAGGAATAATTCTTTAATTTCAGTACAACGTTGAGAAATATTAAAAAATATACAAAGTTCACTTCGAACTGATACAAGCAGTCGGTTACGTTTGTTAGTCCACAAATTTTCCATGATGCTGAAAATTCGTTCAACGTTTGCATTTGATACCGGAATTGATGCACAATACTGGAACAGTTTCAGTAAACTCGGAGCTGGCTCTTTCTTGAAAAAGTACGTCCACTTATCAAGGGATGAATCGCCCTGCAGATGAACATAAACTTCTTCTAAGGCAGAAATTTCATCGAAGAGAGTGTTGGATGGAAGTTCTTCTCGCCATGGTGATAATAACCAGATGTTCGTCATTTCTTCTAAAGTTGGAGGATTATTGCGATCAATTAGATTGAAACAACTTAGCGTCTCATATACGGAATCGGTGAAATTATACCACTTTTCTAGGTACGCAATGGCTCTTTGATACACGTTGATGGCTTCTTTCTTGAACTTTTGCACGGCATTCTCAGGCAAATGTTTTTTACGTAAGGCAAATAAAACTTTCATTCCAAAAAACTCGTCATCGTATTTTTTTTTGCAAAGAATCACGCAGCTTACACATGATAATGTGAAGATCACATGCAAGAATTTTCTTGCTTTCCAGCTTCAGTAGGGTGTCTTGCATTATTGACATGAAGAAGTGCGTGAAATATAAATACAATTCTGAAATTGTTGGTTCATCATCCTTTGTGAGTTCATTTTCCTGATCCGAAATAAGGTTCCAGATAACCTTATGGCACTCATCAGATCCAAGAGAAATAAAATACAATTTTAGAGGTATCCAGTTTAAAAGAAGTCTTTCGACTGCTTTAAACAAACTTAATCAACGTGTTGGAACATGGCGCAAAACTTCATGGAATTCTGACTCGCAAAACTCAAAAAATGATTTCAACTCTTCTCGTTTCTTCACAGAATTCGAAAATTTGGCAAAAACCTTCAGCACTACATTTTCGATATCAAAAGATAACTGCTTTAATGCATTTTTTGCGCTGTTGTGTAAATTGTGATCATTGCAATGAGCATTCGATCTTTGTCTCATTCTAATTTATGAAAAGAAAGAAAAAACGCGATTCTCCTTTCCTTATTCTCTTAGACTGTACAGCCTTAGATTACGTACCATTTCATCATAAAGCTTTTGAATAAAAAAAATGTCCACTATTTTGTGAAAAAAAATAGTGAACATAATGTGAAAAAAGTGGACTGTCCGCTCATATAGTGGACACCTGGCAACCCTGGACTCCGAGGCGCTGTGTCGCTGCCAGGGGCTTCAGGCAGCCTCCATCCTTCCCGCCCCAAGCAGCCCAGGATGCTGTGATATGTAACCCAGGCACACCTGGAGGAGCATCCTCCCTCCCTCCCTCCCTTCCCCCCCGCCCGAAAGGGTCCATCTTCGAGGAGCGACGCTCTTTCCCTTCTGGGAGGACCGAGACTCGCCATTCCCATTGGCTTCCGGGTGGCGCTTTACCGGGCAAGAGAGCGCTTCCGGTCCCTCCAGCGCGGGCGGGGGGGCAGAAGGAGGCGTTTCTGCTCAGGCGCCCTCCCTGTCGCCTCAGGTGGGTCCTCCTCCCCTCCGGGCGGGGATGGCTGCGCTAGGAATCCGCCTCTCGACTCCTCTCAGTGCCCGTTGGCCCCCTTCGCCTCCCGGTCCTGTGGAAGCGTCGGAGGCGCCCGTTGAAGCCCCCCACCCCCCACTCCACTCTGTGTGGGTCTGTGTGTGTGTGTGTGTGTATGTGTATGTGTGTGTGGCGGGTGACGACGACCCTGCAGAGTAGGCCAGGCTGCCAGGCCAGGCGGGTGTTTTTTTTTTTTGATTTATATGCTGCTCTTCTCCGGAGACTCAGGGCGGCTTACAATGCGTTAAGCAATAGCCTTCATCCTTTTGTATATTTTATACAAAGTCAGCTTATTGCCCCCACAAACTGGGTCCTCAATTTACCTACCTTAGAAAGGATGGAAGGCTGAGTCAACCTTGAGCCTGGGGAGATTCGAACCTGCAGTAATTGCAGGCAGCTGGTCTTAATAACAGGGTGCTTTAAATCACTGTACTACTAAGGTTGAAAGATGTGTCGCTTCTCCTTCTCTCCGGCAGCCTCGCCCGGCTGGCTCTCCTGAAGTGGCCCCGGGGAGAAGGAAGGGAGGAAGGGAGGGCCCCCTCTACAGCCCCTGGGCAGGCGGCTCTGTGTGTGTGTGGGGGGGATCACCCTGAGGGTATCTAGACGGCCTCATCCCCCTCCCTCCTTCTCCTTTTGGGCGGGGCCTGGGGTTTGTGGGCGGGGCTTTGTCCTGCGTGGGGGGGGGTCTTTTGTGCGACTTTCTGAAGCGGGGATTCCGCCCACAGCCTCGGACCATCATGGCCCAGTTCAAGCGCCAGAAGCCTCTGCGGACTAGCAGCCTCCAGGGAGCCCCGCGAGGGTCCTTCTCAGGTGGGTCTCCCCCCCTTCCCCTCACCTGGGATGGCCTCTCTTCACCGGTTCTCCATCTTTTCCTTCGCTTCCATTGGAGCCTTTAGGCTTCTTTCGGCTCTGGAGCTCTGCCCCGTTAGGCTCTGGGAAAGAGTGGCCTTTTTCTTTTTTTCTAAGAAGGTTTGGTGCTTTTTCCTTTTCCTTTCTTTCCTTTCCCTTTTTCCTTTCCTTCTTTCCTTTTTCCTTTCCTTTACCTTTTTCCTTTCCTTCTTTCCTTTCTCCTTTTTCCTATTCTTTCTTTCTTTCTTTTCCTTTTTCCTTTCCCTTTCCTTTCTTTTCCTTTTTCCTTTCCTTTTTCCTTTTCCCTTTCCTTCTTTCCTTTCCCTTTTCCCTATCCTTTTTTCCTTTTTCCTATCCTTTCCTTCTTTCCTTTCCTTTTTCCTTTCCCCTTTCCTTTCCCTTCCCTATTTCCTTTCCTTTCCTCTTTCCTTTCTTTCTTTCCTTTTTCCTTTCCTTTCTTTTCCCTTTCCCTTTTTTCTTTCCTTTCTTTCCTTTCCCTTTCTTTCTCTATTTCCTTTCCTCTTTCCTTTCTTTCTTCTTTCCTTTTTCCTTTCCCTTCCCTTCTCCTTTTTCCTTTCCCTTCCTTTCTTTCTCTATTTCCTTTCCTTTCCTTTCCTTTCTTTCTTTCTTTTCTTTCCTCCCTCTCTCCCTCCCTCCTTTCTTTTCTTTTTCTTTCTTTCCTTTTTCCTTAACCCTAACCCTGCAAAAGAGGATGGGTGCCAGAACTCGTGCGATATTACAGCACCCAGGAGCTTCCATCAAGTCTCCTCTCCCTCCTGCAGCAGAGTTCTTAACAGCTCCTTGGAATTATTGACGTGCCACCGTTATAACCAGCTGCAGTTCCTTCTTGTGGTCTTGTATTCCAAGTGCGGCCTTACCAAGGCATTATAAAGTGGTACTAACACTTCATGTGCTCTCGATTCTCTTCGTTAATGTATCTTAGAACTGTGGTGGCTTTTTTGGCAGCTGCAGCATACGGCTGGCTCATATTTTAAATGATTCTGCACTGGGACTTCAAGATCCCTCTCACAGTTACCAGTATGGAGCAAGGTACCACATATGCCATCCCTGTGCATTTTGTTTTTCTCGCCTAAATGTGGAACCTTGTTTTTTTTTTTTTTTAATTTGATTTATATGCCGCCCTTCTCCGGAGACTCAGGGCGGCTTACAATGTGCTCAGCAATAGCCTTCATCCTTTTGTATATTTATACAAAGTCAGCTTATTGCCCCCACAAACTGGGTCCTCATTTAACCTACCTTAGAAAGGATGGAAGGCTGAGTCAACCTTGAGCCTTGGAGAGATTCGAACCAGCAGTAAATTGCAGACAGCTGGTCTTAATAACCAGCTTAATAACAGGGTGCCTTAGACCACTGTACTACCAAAGCTCATTTTCCACCACTGAATTTCATTTTATTAGATAGCACTCAACATTCAAGTCTGTCAGGATCCTTCTGTATCTTATTTTTATTTATTTTATTTTATTTTATTTTATTTTTGATTTATATGCCGCCCTTCTCCAGAGACTCAGGGCGGCTTACAGTGTGTTAAGCAATAGCCTTCATCCTTTTGTATATTTATACAAAGTCAGCTTATTGCCCCCACAAACCGGGTCCTCAATTTACCTACCTTAGAAAGGACAGAAGGCTGAGTCAACCTTGAGCCTGGCGAGATTCAATCTTACTTTAATTGCAGACAGCTGGTGTTAAATTACAGTGCTTCTGTCTGTTGAGCTAAACCAGGCTCCTGGGGTTAAGCCTATCTTAAGCCTATCCTCTGGAGTGTTGGCTATTCCTGCCAGCTTGGTGTCGTCTGCAAATTTGATGAGTTCCCCAATACCTGGTGATGCACGGATTGAAGATAAGCAGCAAGAAAAAATCACAAAGTACCGGGATTTGCAAATTGAAGTTGAGCGACTGTGGAAAAAGAAAACGTGTGTTGTCCTGATTGTAATTGGAGCCCTTGGAGCAATACCCAAAGGGCTACCCGGCTATTTAGAAATTCTAAATTTGCCGGACTTGAACATTTTGACTCTACAAAAAACCACCCTACTTGGAACAGCTTACATCCTCCGACGATACCTTAACAGTTCCTAGGTCCTTGGTTAGGACTCGAGCTGCTGAGCTATTAACCAGCCTCAAAGGCTCTGAATCTCACTAAAGATTAAATAATAATAATAATAATAATAATAATAATAATAATAATAATAATAATAGAGCGAAGAGAGCACATAGTTGCCAGGACGTAAAGAAAAAAGGCAGGTGTGGGGCAATTGTTTTATCCATCCTTATACATATACATATATATATATATATTATATTTCACATAGACATCTGGCTTAATATCTTAAAGAGAAGCATCACAGGGAAAGTCAGCATTCGGAGCTGAATCCACACCATCCGGGACCCAACTTCCCTTCAGTCTTAGATTTGCATCGTGGGGCAGGGAGAATTTGGCAACGGGGGCAAGACAATAAGTGCTTCAGCCACAGAACCGAGTCATTAAGAGCCTCCCGTTGCTTCTGGGAGCTGCCGGCCGCAAACCAAGGATTAATACGAGCCCTGACAATCGCTTTCCAGAGTCCAGCAACTTGGCAGCGTGGGAAGCCATCATTTCCGAAGCTGTCAAAAGACAAAATGTCCGTGGCAGCAAACATTTGTTCCTTGAAGAATGACGGCCCAAAACTCTGGTAGTTGAAAAGAAAGAAAAAAAAAAAGAAAAGCCATTTGCCTTAGGGAACGCCCTCTCCCTCCCTCAGCACCTTCCCCAAAGGTCCTTGCATGGCATTCCCTCTTGCCCCCAAAGCCCCCTTTTCTGCAGATGTCTTTAAAGGGCCGAATCACGTTTGGCGAGAAGATCCCTGGTGGAAATCTCCATCTGACTGCATTCCCCTTCTTCTTCAGCTTCCTGAGCTCCGCTGTCAATTTAAGACTGGGAATAGACGGCCAAGATGGTGCCGTCCTCTGCTGGGCTCTGGTAGCGCTGGCGGGCGTGTTTCTCGCAGTACATCTCTTCCCCAACCCAGAAATGGCCACGCATCTTCAGGTTGAGCCCACAGTCGGTGCAAACGTAGCAAGACGGGTGGCGGTAACGGTTCTCTTGGATTTTCACCGCCTGGTATCTGGGGAAGACGGAGAAGAGGAGAAGTCCCGTGAGAAGGACCAGCATCTACAGCAGGGGGGGGGGGCGTTCAATTTTGCCAAGATTTGTGGACTTCCAACTTTCCAGAAATTCCCAGCCAACAATCCACAAGTCAACGTTCCACAAGTCTTAAATTTGCCGTGGTGGGACACCCCCGATCTACAGCAAGCCAATCATCATCGCCCAAGTGTCACCACCCCTCCGAAATGCATGCTTAACCAAACATTCTCAAGTGTAAACAAGAGTTGCAGCACGCTCTAAAACAGAGGTCTCCAACCTTGGCAACTTTACGACTTGTGGACTTCAACTCCCAGAAATTCCTCAGCCAGCATGCGCTAATGGGAGTTGAAGTCCACAAGTCGTAAAGTTGCCAAGGTTGGAGACCCCTGCTCTAAAGCCCTCTGATGATCTGTTGTGTGGATGTTTGGGTGGTTTAGGGGTGGGGAATTATGGTGGGTGGGAGTGTGTTTGGGGATTGTTACGTGTGTTGGATCTGGTCTTTGGTTGTTAAATGAATTTCATTGTATGTATATACTGTGTTTCCCTGTACAATGACAATAAAATTATGATGATGATGATTTTTTGCCATCTTAGTCTTTGAAGTGACTCTATATAATGAAACAAAATAAATACATTTCTGCAGATGTAATCCTGGTAATCCAGGGTACCAATTTTCTCTTTTCTGGGCATTCCACTCGTTATGCAAACTTCTTTTTGCATAGATTGTTATTATTGCCTTCAAGAGTGTTGACGGCCTCTTCAAAGGAGAGTGTGGAGTGATGGGTGGATTCAGCCACTCCATCTCTTTTTTTGGGACACAAGCAAGCATTCAGCAGTCAAGCTGGTATTTAGGAGGCGCATCGCTTATGTACACCACAGCTCCAAGTATCCAGACAAGCAAATTCCAGGTGGTTGGACTAGAGGTGGGTTCTACTTACCTTTACTACCAGTTTGCAACGGGATCGCGCGTGCGCGCTCGCTTCTGTGCATGCACAGATTGCTTCTGATGACGTCAGGGTCAGTGGGCGGAGCCTCCCTCTGGTTTTATGACCGGTTCTATAGAACCGGTCCGAACCGGGGGCAACCCACCACAGGGTTGGACGAGGGGTGAAATGCTCCCGGTTTGGACTGGATCGCCCGATCCGGTAGCGATGGAGGTGGGTGGTTTGGAGAACCGGTAGCAAAAACCCCTGCCCCCCCCCATTGCCCAGCTGAGCCGCGCAATCATCAAAGGCTTTTTTCTTCTTTGGCTGAAAAAGTGCTTCTAAAAGTAAAAAAAAAAAAGCCTCTGATGATCCCGCGGCTCAGCTGGGATCATCAGAGGCTTTTAAAAGCATTTTTTCTACAACCTCTTTGGCCGAAGAGGTTATGGAAAAAATGTTTTTAAAAGGAAAAAAAAGCCTCTGCAGATCAGGCAAGTCAGCTGGGATCGTCAGAGGCTTTTAAAAGCATTTTTTAAACAACCTCTTCAGCCAAAGAAGTTGTAGAAAAAATGGTTTTAAAAGTAAAAAAAAATGCCTCTGATGATCGCGCGGCTCAGCTCGGATCATCAGAGGCTTTTAAAAGCATTTTTTCTACAACCTCTTCGGCCGAAGAGGTTATAGAAAAAATGTTTTTAAAAGGAAAAAAAGCCTCTGCCGATCAATCAAGTCAGCTGGGATCGTCAGAGGCTTTTAAAAGCATTTTTTTAACAACCTCTTCAGCCGAAGAGAGAAAAAATGGTTTTAAAAGGGGAAAAAAAGTTGGCCACGCCCACCCATTCATATTAAACCCACCAAGCCACGCCACAGAACCGGTAGTAACAAATTCTACATTTCACCACTGGGTTGGACCTCAACTCCCATAATTCTGAGCAGTGGCCATGCTGGCTGAGAATTCTGGGAGTTGACATTCACACATCTGGAAGTTACCCAGGTTGGTGGGAAACTTCCATTTAAAAACAGGTCTGGGTTTTTGAAGCCAACAGACAGCACCACGGATGGGCCTGGTGTGGCTTCAATGGCCACCACATTTTAGTGGCACAATACAGGTTGTCCTCGGCTTACAACAGTTCATTTAGTGACCAAAGCTACAATGACACTGAAAAAAGTGACGACCATTTTTCACACTTAACGGCCTTTGTAAGCATCCCCGTGAGCATGTGATCAAAATTCAGATACTTGGCAATTGGTTCATACTTATGACCGTTGCTGTGTCCCGAGGTCATGCGATCAACTTTTGAGCAAGCAAAGTCAATGGGGAAGCTAGATTCACTTAACAACCGTTTTACTGAAATTAGAGCACTTTTGAATGTAAAATTTAAGACATGTCACCGAGAATTGCATTACTGTTCCTGGTGGAAAAAGAGGATATAAATGAAACCAAAAAAAAAAGGATTGTAAATTTGATAATGGCAGCTAGATTAGGGACGGCTAAATATTGGGGACGAAATTGGGATGTTCAAAAAAATGAGTGGCGTAATGAAATTTGGAGTATGGCAACAAACGATAAATTAACAACAGAAATTAAATTTAAAAAAGGGATGATCAAAGCAAGCAATTATAATGAAATATGGGAGGATTTTATAAAATCAGTGTTGGTGGAAGGCAACGGGAATAAACCTACTTAAGAATATATGTTTCGGAGGGGATAAAGCACAACTGGAATATATTGTATATCTTTTAGCTGTTATAGACGAAGAAATATAAGGGAGAAAAAATGGTCTCTGGGGGATGGGGGTGCACTGTAATATTTGGTTTTTTCCCTCTTTTTCTTTTGTCTTTCTTTTTTTGTATTTAGATGTATATGTGCTATGTTTGTATTTGTATTTTAAAAATAATTTATTTTTTTTGAAAAAAACATGTTACTTACCTTATCAACTGCAGTGATTTACTTAACAACTGTGGCAAGAAAGATCGTAAAATGGGGTAAAACTCAATAAATGTCTCACTTAACAGAAGTTTGGGGCTCAATTGTGGTCATAAGGATAAGACTAGCTGTATTTCAACCTTAACCCTCTAAAACTGGATTTCCTTTTTAAAAAAAATAAGCTTTTACTAAACATTTTCCAAAGAGCATAAAAACTAACACAAACTAATAAAGAGTAAAAGCAGAAAAGGAAAGATGGAACAAAGCAAGAAGACAAAACGCAGAAAGAAGGAATAAAGAGGAAGCTTCCGGTTTCCTTTGCAGCAAATATAAGTGCATTATAAAGTTATTTCTTGCTCTATAATTGCAAAAGAAAATCTCATTTCTTTTCTATTATCAATTTTTTTTTACAATCACCGAAACCCCAACTCCTAAGTGCATTTTTCCTGTTTAAGTAAAAAGTCAACCATAAATACATTCTTTTTCTCTAATCGAAGAAGTCGATTTAACTATCCTTGCAAATCCCATCATCTTCACTAAAGCTGGATTCCACAGTATATTAAGGAGTATCCTTGCGCTAACAGCTGCTTTTAATAAATCCGCCCAACCCTATTTATTTATTTATTTAACCTTGGTAGTACAGTGGTCTAAAGCACCCTGTTATTAAGACCAGCTGCCTGCAATTACTGCAGGTTCGAATCTCGCCAAGGCTCAAGGTTGACTCAGCCTTCCATCCTTTCTAAGGTAGGTAAATTGAGGACCCAGTTTGTGGGGGCAATAAGCTGACTTTGTATAAAAATATACAAAAGTATGAAGGCTATTGCTTAACACATTGTAAGCCGCCTTGAGTCTCCGGAGAAAGGCGGCATATAAAAATAAATAAAAATAAAATAAATAAATAAAAAATCTCCATTCCCTCCCAAATCCAGGGGAAGGATACTGTAAAATCTCCACTCCCTCCCCAATCCAGGGGAAGGATACTGTAAAAACTCCATTCCCTCCCCACTCCAGGGGAAGGTTACTGCAAAATCCCCATTTCCTCACGATCAGCTGGGACTCGGGAGGCAGAGAACAGATGGGGCGGGGCCAGTCAGAGGTGGTATTTACCGGTTCTCCGAACTACTCAAAATTTCCGCTACCGGTTCTCCAGAACTGGTCAGAACCTGCTGAAACCCCACCTCTGCACCTGTACTATCGAAGGAACCATGCCTGACCTCTCACTGGCTACTCTTAGCATGGCTCATCTTCATCCACTCCTCTTTGCGTTTTCCAGCCTGGCAGGTTATACCGCTATTTCCAGTTGGTTGCAAAATCCGAGCCGTGAAAGCAAGCCCTTTAATCATGCAATTACCAAAACCATCCGCAGCTCTTATTCGGAAAGATAAATAAATCAACAGGTTTTGGGCTCTCTTCCGGCCCAGAACTGTCCCTTGCCCCACCTCTGGTGTTAATCCCTGCGCCAAGGATTCCTTTGTAGATCAAAAGGAGGAGGAACAACTGTCCTGAAGGAAGACAGGTTCATCATCCTTTCATTGTTATTTTTGGCTTGATTTTTATCGCAATTTCTTCCTTGTGAGCTGCCCAGAGTCGCTCAGTCAGCAGGAATTGATGTTTAATAAACTAGCTATGGAGATTCCTAATCATCCAAGTCATGGTTGTCCCAAAAAATGTTTTTTATTTCCCCCCAAAAGACAACTGGACTTTCTTGTGTGTCCCCCTCCCTCTTTGAAAACATTCTAAAGAACTGAAGAATGGATGAAATGCGAAAGGTTTTCAAAGAAGCAAAAAACTAAAAGCTGGAAAGAAGAGTACAGGGGTTTAGTGCACCCTGTTATTAACACAGCTGCCTGCAATTTCTGCAGGTTCGAATCTCTCCAAGGCTCAAGGTTGATTCAGCCTTCCATCCTTTCTAAGGTAGGTAAATTGAGGACCCAGTTTGTGGGGGCAATAAGCTGACTTTGTATAAAATATACAAAAGAATGAATCTATTGCTTAAGCACTGTAAGCCGCCCTGAGTCTCCAGAGAAGGGCGGCATATAAATAAAATTAAAATAAATAAATAAATAAATAAATAAATAAATAAACAAACAAAACAAACAAACAAACAAACAAACAAACAAACAAATAAATAAATAAATGATACCTATGGATGAAGAAATTATTAGGAAAATGTTGGATTGTGCCGAAATGAGTAAACTGACATTTGAAATAAGAGAGCAGGAAGAAAAACTATATATATATTAATTTTATTTATATGCCGCCCTTCTCCGGAGACTCAGGGCGGCTTACAGTGCGTTAAGCAATAGCCTTCATACTTTTGTATATTTATACAAAGTCAGCTTATTGCCCCCACAAACTGGGTCCTCAATTTACCTACCTTAGAAAAGATGGAAGGCTGAGTCAACCTTGAGAATGATGAGATTTGAACTTGCAGTAATTGCAGGCAGCTGGTGTTACTTAACAACACTTTAGTCTGCTGCGCCACCAAGGCTCTTTATTTGATTAATTTGATTAATTGTTCTCCCTGTCAGGAAATTTCTCCTTAGTTCTAGATTGGTTCTCTCCTTGATTCATTTCCATCTATTATCCCCAAAGGTGCTTTTTCAAGGAACAGATGGACTTCCTTGCTTTTTCTTTGAAGACATTTCGCTTCTCATCCAAGAAGCTTCTTCAGCTCTTGACACTGGAGCTGAAGAAGCTTCTTGGACGAGAAGCGAAACGTCTTCAAAGAAAAACCAAGAAAGCACCTTTGGGACAATCATGACCTGGAGGACTGAGAATCTCCACAGACATTTCTTCTTCTCCTGCCTTCAGGGGCTTTGGAGAACAGGTCAACCCCCCTCTTCCATGTGACAGCTCCTCAAAGAGTTGAAATGGAAGGTCTTCCCCTGTTTTCCAGTCCCTTTGGTACCAAACCTTGCTTAAGGATTAGCCATACTCACGTGATGGGGCTGTCACATTTCTCACAGGTGTGCAGCTTCTGAGAGTTCCCTGCCGTAGCACTGCTAACCGGCTTGTGCAAACTGGGAGAGAGCTGGCTGGGGAAATGGGTTGCCGTGCCCTCTGTCAAAGCAGCACAGAAAGTACATTAGCAAACAATAATTAAAAAAAACAACACACACATTACTGGTTTTAAAGAATGTACAGCCAACCCTATGCACGGGTAGGCTGCTGGGGGTTCGCAAGGGTTCGGGAGAACCTCTAACTAAGATTCTGTGCAGTTCGGAGAACCCCCAAATCCCACTCCTGGCTGGCCCTGCCTACCCCACCCCTCCCAGGAGTCCCCACGCGGCCCGTTTTGGATGCAGGTAAGTGCAGTGCACACGCGGAGGCTCGGGGAGGACGCAAAACAGGCCGACCGGAAGTTTGGGAAGGCCGGAAACGGCCCGTTTCCATCCTCCAGAGGGCCTCCGGAGCCTGGGGAGGCCGTTTTCGCCCCTCTGGAGCAGTGGTGAAATCCAAATTTTTTTACTACCATTCTGTGGGCGTGGCAAGGGAAGGATACTGCAAAATCTCCATTCCCACCCCACTCCAGGGGAAGGATACTGCAAAATCCCCATTCCCTCCCCACTCGGGGGCCAGGCAGAGGTAGTATTTGCCAGTTCTCCGAACTACTCAAAATTTCCACTACTGGTTCTCCGAACTGCTCAAAATTTCCACTACTGGTTCTCTAGAACCTGTCAGAACCTGCTAGATTTCACCCCTGCTCTGGAGGCTCGAGGAAAGCCTCCAGAGCCCGGGGAGGACAAAAACGCCCCCTGCCGTGATGCAGGAGGCTGAATAGGCCACACCCACTGTAGCCACACCCACCCAGCAACTAGGCAGAAAACCTCTTTGCTAAAATTTTTGAAGTCCACCCCGACCCTATGTATCTCGATCCAGAAATTAAGTGTTTTTTTTTTCTTCTCAATGAAAAAAAAATCACATCTGCAGCCTCAAAAAAACTATTTCACTGAAGGATACTTTTCCTTCTTTCAGTGTTAATAGCTGGAGCAACTTCAGGATGGCGCATTGAGCAGGCCAATGCATCTGCACAGGTTTAGAAGGGGAAATATATTCGTTTATAATTTTTCTTGTTTCCTTTCCTGCGAACAAAAAGTGGCATCCCATCAGAAACGTCCATGCCCTTTTTACATTCTTAAAACTACCAATTAAAGTCTGTCAGATGAAAGGTTTCGTCTGATTACTATAGTCTGTCAACAAAGATTATATAGCCCATCCAGAGGCTGGTTTAAAATGCTGGTTTATCTGCCTCTTGAATGTAGGTTTCCTCCCTTATTCGGCCCCGTGACCACACACAAACAGAGCAGTAAGCTAGATCAGCAAGAAAAGGAACAAGACCTGTTCGTATTATTATGAAAAAGCAAAAAGTTGTGATTTGATGCCTTCTTTTACTGCAAGAGTTGGAAGTCAATGCTTCTTTTTCTTTTTCTTATCTTTCCTTGCTTCTCTTCCCCTTCTTCTTCCCCACTGCTTTTCTGTTTGCTTTTGTATTTCATATATTATATTTTATAACTCAATAAAAAAACTGTTATAAACTGGAAGGAACAAGACTTTTATCCCAGGAGATTATTACCTGGTAGCAATGAGTTCCAAAGGCCGCTCTACCAAATTTAATGTTGGCATATAAATCAAATTTAAAAAAAAAATGTTCCAAGTTTCTCATTTTTTTTCCCCCCGGCTTGGTTGTTCTATCTTATTTCCACCCTCACCTTGTGATTTTGAAAAGGACAAGCCCGTTTTACGCTATCCGTCCTAACCAGAAACATTTTCCTTAAGCTAATCTTATTTTGCAAGCGTGTTATTTCCATAGGAGCCTTGGTAGTACAGTGGTTTAATGCAAATGTAATTAACACAGCTTCCTGCAATTTCTGCAGGTTCGAATCTTACCAGGCTCAAGGTTGACTCAGCCTTCCATCCTTTCTAAGGTAGGTGAAATGAGGACCCAGTTTGTGGGGGCAATAAGCTGACTTTGTATAAATATACAAAAGTATGAAGGCTATTGCTTAACGCATTGTAAGCCGCCCTGACTCCGAGAAGGCGGCATATAAATCAAATAAAAATAAATAATAATAATAATAAAAAAAAAATAACGCAACACGAAAAAAAAACATGACTACAGCATGGGAATAGGTTTGGCTTAAAATGCGAAGCCCATTGTGCCATTTGTCTTCCTTCCTTCCATCCATCCATAGACAAGAGCCCTGTCCATCCTCTTGCCTCTGTCACCTTTTTCATCCAATTCCAGAGCCACCTGGAGCAGGCGGAAAGTGCTGGATTGCCGGGGCACAGCCCTTGTATCACGATTTTCCTGCATCAGCTTGTAGACCTCGGAGTCTCCTTCCAAATGGTGCATCGTTGGCTCCGTATCCAAACTAGAGACACAAAACAGGTACAGTCAGGTTTAGGATGAAGTGGGGAGGCGGGGGGGGAAATAAATATTGGATTAAATTAAGATTTTATTGTACTTGTTTCTTAACTTGTGTTCGCCGCCCTGAGTCCTTCGGGAGAACGGCGGCATATAAATACATAATAAATAAATAATAAATAAATATCTCAAGGTTTTCATCCAGGAGGATAGGACAAGATAGTATTTCATCCCTTTACAGAGCCTGAAAGAGGAGGGATGGGTTGGGAGAGACCAGAGTATGGCCTAAGTGCAATCCTTAAGCTGCAGGTCTCCAGAGCAGTGATGAGTTGTTTCCAGTTCACACCGGTTCGCAAGAACCGGTAGTAAAAATTTGTAGTCATTCGGAGAACTGGTAATAACATTGGCTGGCCACGCCCCCAAACCGGTCCCCGGCCCGGTCGTCATCGCTTACCCCGCCCACCTCATCAGAGGCTTTTTTTTTTTTCCTTTTAAAAGCATTTTTTCTACAACCCCTTCGGCCGAAAAAATTAAAAAAAAGTAAAAAAAAAAGCCTCTGATGATCGAGCGGCTCAGCTGGGATCATCAGAGGCTTCTAAAAGCGTTTTTTTCTGCAACCTCTTCGGCCAAAGAGGTTGTAGAAAAAAAAAATGCCTTTAAAAGCCTCTGGTGATCCCAGCTTGAGTTGCCTGATCGTCAGAGGCTTCTAAAAGCATTTTTTTCCTGCAACCTCTTAAGGTTGTAGAAAAAATGCTTTGAAAAGTTTTTAAAAAAAGTTAGCCACGCCCACCCAGTCACATTACCCCCACCAAGTCACACCCATAAAATAAGCCACGCCCACAGAACAGGTAGTAAAAAATTTTAGAACCCACCCCTGCTCCACAGGTACAGGTGGATTCATGAAGCCACTTCTTTTGACCATGGAGCTCATGGAGGACTTCCCTTGCTCCAGACAGGACAAGATTTCAAAAGTGACTCTCCTCTATCCAAGTTTGAAGTCAGAAAAATGTTGCTCTCTCTGCCCTTTCGCTGTTAAAGAAGTATCTCCAGTACTTCTGCTCTCTGTCTCTTCCTCTCTGGAAACTAGATCCACCATGACCAGCAGAAGAAGTCAATGAAGGAGACTCCTTGAGACATGCAAATGGGATGATAGCAGAGAGGTTCTCCCATTAGCTGAGCCCAAAGGGAAAAGCTTATCTCCCATCCAAACGCGTCCTTCAAAGCAGTGGTGAAATCCAATTTTTTTTTACTACCGGTTCTGTGGGCGTGGCTTGGTGGGCATGGCAGGGGAAGGGTACTACAAAATCTCCATTCCCACCCCACTCAAGGGGAAGGATATTGCAAAATCTCCATTCCCACCCCACTCCAGGGGAAGGATACTGTAAAATCTCCGTTCCCACCCCACTCCAGGGGAAGGATACTGCAAAATCCCCATTCCCACCCCACTCCAGGGGAAGGATACTATAAAATCTCCATTCCCTCCTCACTCCAGGGGAAGGATACTGCAAAATCCCCATTCCCTCTCCACTCCTGGAGGAAGGATACTGCAAAATCCCCATTCCCTCCCCATTCTGGGGCCAGCCAGAGGTGGTATTTTCCGGTTCTCCTAACTACTCAAAATTTCCGCTACCGGTTTTCCGAACCACTCAAAATTTCCGCTACCGGTTCGCCAGAACCTGCTGGATTTCTCCCCTGCTTCAAAGCTTGTCTCACCTACAGAAAACGGATCGTTTTGTAGGTGCACACGAGTACAGGTAGTACCTGCACCGCTTCTTTCTGCCAGAACCAGCCCCCCGGAGAGTCTAACCAGGTTTAGGAAGGCTGCAAATTAACCCTCCCAAGCAATAGCTAATTCGGTAGCCCTCTCACCCCAATTTTTTTCTCTTTCTCTCTGGTCCTCGGAGTTGCTCGGAGTCAGAGTGTCTTGCTGTCTTTCTCGTTCTGAAAGGCAGAACACTCCCTCAAGTTACAACCCTTAGACCTGCCCTGTCTCGACCTTCGTCAGCAGCTCTGACTGAAGTGTGGATTAACCCTCGCACTTCCTGGCTCAGTTAAGAAGTACAGTAAAGGATGCCTAGAAAGTACGTTTTGCAGATCTGGCGGGGGCTTAGACACAATATTGCTGAGCACATTGTAAGCCGCCCTGAGTCTTCGGAGAAGGGCGGCATATAAATCAAATTAAAATATATATATATATATATATATATATATATCAGGAAGAGGGCTTCCTAACAGGAAGGGAACGTTTCCCCCAGCACAAAAACGAGTTAGTTAGTTAAGTTTCCTTTATTGATTAGCTCTTCCGTCATATCAAAGTTAATAGACTGTCTACTGCTGACCTCACCCCATTCCTAAGAGGTCTGTAAGGGACGTGCATAAGTACACCAGCATACCTACCATCCCTGTCCTAATGTTCCCTTTAATTGTATTCATTTTATGTTTTCAATTCATGCGTATACGTATATATATTATCTAATACGTACTCGACAAATAAATAAATAAATAAAAAATAATGCCTTGGTAAGGCCACTGCATCCAATTTTGGTTGCCACGATGCAAAAAAGATGTGGAGACTCTAGAAAGAGTGCAGAGAAGAGCAACAAAGATGAGTAGGAGACTGGAAGCTAAAACATTTGAAGAACGGTTGCAGGAACTGGGTATGTCTAGTTTAATGAAAAGAAGGACTAAGGGAGACATGAGAACAGTGTTCCAATATCTCAGGGGTTGCCACAAAGAAGAGGGAGTCAAGCTATTCTCCAAAGCACCTGAGGGTAGGACAAGAAGCAATGGGTGGAAACTAATCAAGGAGAGAAGTAATTCAGAACTAAGAAATTTCCTGACAGTGAGAACAATTAATCAGTGGAACAACTTGCCTCCAGAAGTTGGAATGCTCCAACACTGGAAGTTTTAAAGAAGATGTTGGATAACCACTTGTCTGAAGTGGTGTAGGGTTTCCTGCCTAAGCAGGGGGGTTGGACTAGAAGATCTCCATGGTCCCTTCCAATTCTGCTATGCTATGCTATGCTATGCTATGCTATGCTATGCTATGCTATGCTATGCTATGCTATGCTATGCTATGCTATGCTATGCTATGCTATGCTATTCTAAAGTGGAGAGTTCCAGATACAAATCTTATTACTAAAATCTGGTAAAAACAATTTAAAATGGAATCGGAATAAAATACAGTTTAAACTGAAATTGGAATACAATACAGTTTAAAATGAAACTGGAATAAAATACAATAATTTAATACATAGATAAATAAAATATGATAAAATTATATTTTGGTATCACTGCTACAATCTACCCCAATCGGTCTCACCCCAGAATGAGTAAAAAAGGTAGGAAAGAAAGAAAGGAAGGAAGGAAGGAAGGAGGGAGGGAGGGGGGAGGAAGGAAGGAAGGAAAGAAAGAAAGAAAGACAGAAAGAAAAAGAAAGAAAGAAAGAAAGGAGGAAGATAAAAAGAAGCTACCCACCCCTTTAAGAAAATACGATTCAGATTCATTGCTGTCATTTTATTTTGAAATGAAAACACCACAATTCATAAACATTAGGTAACCCAAAACAGGGTGGATAAAAATCAATGATTTTTTTTTAAAATCAAAAAAATCAGATTTTTTTGATTTAAATCGGATTTTTTTGATTTTTATCTAATTTATTTTAATAAAAAACTTTGGGGGTAAAAATCTATCGTAAGATAGTTTTCTATTTAAGATACATAAAGAATTTAGTTTATTCAGCATGAAATGGAGTTTAGTTATTTAGCATGAGGCTGTATATTCTGCAACACTGGGACTATCGGTGAGTCAACAGTGGGTCAAAGGAGTAGCAGAGATGACAGTTGCTCTTTTAAAATTATGATTTAAATCGCGTTGATTTAAATCAAGCCTTTTTACTAGGGATTTAAATCATGATTTAAATTGTGATTTAAATCAACTCGATTTAAATCAAATCCACCCTGACACAAAATGCAGGAAACTGCCTTATTCAGCCAGGCCAATTGTCTCTATGGTAGTGTTTACTCCAGCTGGTACCAGCCTTCCAGTTCCTAAGTCTTTACTATCATTGTTTGTGAGCAGGTGTTCAACTATCCCTGAATAATGGCAGGAATGGGTTTGCCGGTTTTTCTGTTTTGAATGGGTAGTGAAGATTTGAAAAACCTTTCTCTGGGAAGGCCACTGAAACAAACAGGTGCTATTCCTCTGCTGAAAAATGAACAATGCCCCAAGAGCTGTATACGAAAACATACGATATAGACTTAACTTGGGGAAGCTGAAAAACATCTATCGGAAAAACAGCTCACACTGGACCAGCATGGTAGATTGTGGTCCATCAGCTTCAACGAAGAGGCCTCCATCTTGGGATGGATTTATTTGGACCGGGCATATGCCAATACTATTAACCGTATTTTTCAGATTATAAGATGCACCTAAATTTAGAAGAGGAAAACAACAAAAAAAAAGTTTTTGGCCTCCCTTTTTTTTTGGCCCTTTTCCAGGCTTTTTTTGGCCCGTTTTCAAGGCATTTTTTGGCCCGTTTTCAAGGCTGTTTTCGGCCTGTTTTCAAGGCATTTTTGGCCCATTTTCAAGGCTTTTTTCGGCCCATTTCAAGGCTTTTTTGGCCCATTTTCAAGGCTTTTTTTGGCCCACTTTCAAGGCTTTTTTCGGCCCATTTTAGGGGCGTTTTTGGCCAGTTTTCAGGGCTTTTTTAAGCCTGTTTCCGAGGCTTTTTGGAGCCGTTTTTGGGGCTGTTTTTGGCCTGTTTTCGAGGCTATTTTAGCCTGTTTTTTCCAACAAAACAGGCCAAAAAAAGCCTCAAAAACAGGCCAAAAAAAGCCCTGAACACAGGCTGAAAAAAAGCCTCAAAAATAGGTCAAAAAAAGGCCTGAAAAAAGGGTGTGCGGCGGGCAAAAATAAATGACTGGTGGATGGGTGGGGCTTCAGCAGTATTCGGTCTATAAGACGCACAGACATTTCGCACCCTTTTGGGAGACAAAAAAGTATGCC